AAAAAAATTCCGAAAAAATGAATAATTCTGCGGAAAACAAACAGGTTTCTTATCATCCAGTAAAGAAACCCATTTTCTTATCAATACGACACAAACTCCAGTGACTTTCCTCTTCTTTTTTTGTGATTTTCCAAAGTTATTTTATTTTATCTGTTTTTTTTGTTGAAAATTTTGAATTCCCTTTCGATGCAAACATTGTACAAATCAATTTTTTGAAAACTAAACTTTTTTCGAAAAAATGTTCCAGTTAGATAACGAAACCTGTTCAATTCTGAACAACTTCCGCTTCTTCTCTGATTGTTGATCGCCAGTATAGGCTCCTCCCACTTTTCTCCAAACTGTTGTAAACAAGGGAAAAGTATGGGGGCAGTTTTATTATTCTTTGATTTGCTAGAAAAAAAGAACAATGATTACAAAATCTAGTACTGTACAAGTGGTAAGTCATGGCTTTTAGTTCGAATTTTTTTAAAATAAAAAATTTCAGCCGAAATATACGCAACTTCAATTTCTACAATTGCTAATTACAAATTTGCAGAATTGGTGTCTGAAAATTTTTTGGATCGCAATTTTTTGTGTGTTGAATTGTTACGATGAAGAAAGTGAATACAAAGAAAGTTTACAAAAATTAAGACCTATTATCGAAAAGGTATAGAATAATTTCAGAAACTATAAATGCAACATTTTCAGAAATTGTTTCGAAATTTCAAAAATCGAACGATTTTTGAATCTGGATTCTCGAAACGCCGGCTTTATGTTATTGCTGAGGAATAAAGTTTTTTTTGATTGCCATGATTTCTTTTTATTTGCAAATTTAGAATTTGAAAATAAGGGATTCAAGAAAGTTTAGAACTTCAGAAATTCAGAAATTCAGAAATTCAGAAATTCAGAAATTCAGAAATTCAGAAATTCAGAAATTCAGAAATTCAGAAATTCAGAAATTCAGAAATTCAGAAATTCAGAAATTCAGAAATTCAGAAATTCAGAAATTCAGAAATTCAGAAATTCAGAAATTCAGAAATTCAGAAATTCAGAAATTCAGAAATTCAGAAATTCAGAAATTCAGAAATTCAGAAATTCAGAAATTCAGAAATTCAGAAATTCAGAAATTCAGAAATTCAGAAATTCAGAAATTCAGTTCTTCAATGAGTTCAACAATCAATAACTTGCGATAATGTGCTGTGTTATGATGCAAACGGTTCGCGTACGGACCGCATGCAGTTCCTATATCAACCGCGCGCGAACGCGGAGCGTCCGTAACGGATTGTTCGCGAATCACCTGTGCATCCTTGGTTTCGATGAGGAGGTTGCAAAAGAGACAATTTATGTCATTCTAGTTGGGTTCTAGTATTGTTGGCCTTGACGTCGAGCTTCTGCTGCCGCGGGGGATCCTCTAGA